AAAGCCTGAGGAACGTCATTGGTCAGATTACACATATTACACCTCCATCGGTGTCCCTGGTCCAGGAAAGTGACATAGGGGTTGATATATGTTCTACAGCGTCGGCAACGCGAGATGACTTGATCCTGCACAACAGGCACGGGATCCTCATCGTCGTGGAGAGAACCGTAGGGCTGGATGACGAGTGCAAGGGGCAGCTTGGACTTCTTCAGGAGCGAGTGGGTGGTGGGAACAGCGTTGAGAGTCGATCGGAAATATCGCGGGGAGCAGTTGGCGTCGGGGGACGGAGTAACACTCGTCTAACAGGCGAAAGTTAGTGATTGGCAATATCACCAGGCCTGAAAATCAGCAACTCACGTTGGGAGGAAGAACAATCGGGGGCGGGGGAAGGTCAAGCTCCGAGACATTGAAGGGCTGGCTAAGGAGATCAGTTGGATAGAGCTGGTTCAGAACAGCAGGGCGAGGAGGCTGAGCAGCCTGGGGTTGTTGAGCCTGGCCGCCAATGTTCATGTTGCCGACGCCTTGAGTAATGCCGCCAACTCCTGGCGCGGGCTGCTGAGCGCCAGGTGCTGGGTATCCTTGGTCGGGAGCTTGGTAGCCATATTGAGGAGCCTGGGGAGCAGCGGGTTGCTGTGCGCCGTATCCCTGGGGATATTGGTATCCTTGAGGGGCAGCGGCTTGAGGTTCGGCCTGATAACCCCCATAACCTGGCTGAGCGGGAGGGGCACCGAATTGCTGAGGAGCTCCGCCGGTCTGAGCACCGGCGACGGCGTTGGCACCGGTACCGACCTCGAAAGCCTGAGCCGCATACCCTCGCTTCTTCTTCTTGTGGCCTTGATCGTGGGGCTGTTGCTGTTGGGCGGCGGCAGGGTCCTCGTAAGCTTGTTGAGGTGGCTGTTCTTGGCCAGCATATTGATCGTATTGCTGGGCTGGATAGCCGCCGAAGCCATCACCAGGAGGGGGCATCGACATGGTTGAAGTGTGAAGGGAGCAGTGTCGCACCCGAGGTTGAGGTAAGGTATATACGGATGTGTAAACGGTGTCGGTCAATGGGTCGAGAAACGGTTCAAAAGGCGCTGCAGAGGAGCAGGCGTTTTAGCAATCAACAGAAAACGGGATAGTAAAAGGCAACTCCCGATCCGAAGCTCCCAGTCGACGAAATCTATGTGTTGAACTGGGATGGAGGAGGGTAAATGGAGGTGGGTGTTTGGTGGTTGATGAGCTCAGAGCTGTTAGGTAGCGTAGCCTGTGTCTGCATGTCTGCATGTCTGGCCTCTTCGCATTGGTCACCGCCACAGCGACAAAGCCAAGAATCTTGTAGTTAGTGTCAAAGGAGGGGCTACCTACTACCTAATCTCATGGTTGCCTGAGCCACGCTATCAGATGCCAGAAACGGCGAGGAGAGGACACCGATATCACTAGATATCCTCACGTGTTGATATGAGTCAATTCAGAAGAGCAGCCCATCAGATTTTGCAGATGTGTTCATCCTCATCGATATTGCAAGCTTGGAGCTCGGTGGCGTCAAAGCTTCGTTGGAAGTTCCCGTCCCGTCTAGGAGTGCACAGCCACATCCATTGGACCAGTATAAATCAAGAACTGTGGCATCCGAGAATACATCCTTACCTTACCATTCCATGGTAGTTAGGTATTCCTCGAAAATTATGTTACTGTGCCTAGCTAGATGCGTCTCTCCTATCGTACTGATTGGAGTAATCTATCTTGTTCTTGATATGGATAATGACAGGTAGGTAGCCTCCAACTCGTCGCCCTATCCAGCGTAAGTCCTGAAAATGGTGGTAGATGTCGAGTCAATAACCCAATCAAGCTCAACCTTGATTGGTTTTTCGAAAGCCATGTTGATTTCATATCTCCATTGCCAAAATCCTTTACCCGAGGAACTCTGTCTCAGGCCAAATGAATACACAAGAGCGCAAGTCGTCCAAAGAGCAGTCTGCAGATTACTCCTAAGGCCTTGGTGATTTATTCTAAGCTAGGAAGTTCCATGACTTCATAAGTCACTGAACTTAAAGCCCAGGGCTGGCCTACACGAAACAACTCATGCAAATTTGGTCAAAGATAAGATGTGTTCACCAAGAGGGTCTTATAAGTACCTAGATGAGGGAGACATATAAGCTGAAAGGTGTTTCAGACACTCATCTCGGTCGACATGCTATCATGTGGCAAATTTGGCTATGTGTTGATAGATTTGAACTCCTCACTGTAGTGTAAGTGGTCAATTTTGCTGAGGGAAGCAGCATAGAATCATAAGACTTAAGTAAAGCTGGTGATGGATAGTAAAAGGAGATAAAGACTACAGTAATCACGTTACTTACACGATATTAAGCCGTATGAGTTGGAAAATAGTTGACAGTCCTTCCTCGTATCGCGCATGTCTCGAGCCAAGGCAGCTGATTGATAAGAGTTGGCCACAGCATAAAGAATGTCGCCAATCTCTATATTTCTGACAAGCCTATAAGTAGACAGACATATCTGTAGCCTCCTCTCTTTATCATCGAAAAGCTATGCACGGGTGTGTGTACGTCATACGGAGCCGTAAAAACAATCGCTCTTCAAAATGTTGCACGGATGGTCAACGTTGTAGTTTGGTGTTACCTGCTCTTAGGTCAGTGTCTCTCTTGCGTTGTCTACCTACCTAGGTACGAGATACCTTGGGACTATCAAATATACAATTGTTTGGCGGGTCAAGGAAGCTCAGAGTGATGTTCATGTGCTTGTACTCTGGCGAGTAACCAAATGACGAGAGGAAGCAACGGCTCCCTAGGTCAAGCATGAGGCATTGTACCTCTGTACCTAGTGCAGCATGAAGTGGCATGTTCCTTTCGCATTGAATCAACTAGAAGCTTGGTGGTCAATAGGTGTGTTAAGCTCTTATGCTTCCCATAGACCTGGGATGTTGCCCTCTGAAATCTTGGTCTTAACTGCATGTATAGGTACTAACACACAGGCTTTCAACCACTCCTATTGCCGTCTGGATTCCATCTGATAGTATGATTGCTCTGTAAAGATAGAATAGCACACGCTTCTCATACGTGGTTATTCTGATTGTCAGACAAAAACACCATGATTGCTTCTTCAAGCCTCACACAAACAAACCCCTGCATCACCACACCAACATAGACTGTTCTCGATTCACCACGGGGGGATAAGTCAGCCGCCACAAAAGCTTGAATCCCTCAAGCTGTTGACAATTAAGGTATGACAGGTGAGTCTAGGCGATCAGTGAGTGTTTGTAGGACAAGGCATTGCCCATTGCGTACCTATTTTATGTGGTTTATTTTTGCACGCACTTCGTCTCGTCTTTTGCACTGCCACTGCATGGATCGCATGGACGGCAGCGGCCCGGGATAGTTTCTTGGCATTCTCAGGTATAGGGACATGTTCAAGAGCACGATGCTGCACGGAATCAAAGCACCTTGGAATGGAGAAGCACTTGTTTCCGTCTCACAGACTACCTCTCTACCTACCTAGGTACCCAAGGTTCCAATTGTCGCTCGTTCCATACGACAAGGCATCAAGTGTTTCGATACATCGTCCCCCTCTAAGGTCCACTAACATCAGCCAAAGTTACAGGAGAGCAGCCCCTCAGACAAGACCTGGACCCTGTTTTTCGACAGCTGGAGGTGCCGAACAATCCAATTGGCGATCCCCGAACCTAAGTTCCATTAACGGGCGGGTTTTCGCGAATACCTCAGTCCAAGGGCGAGCTAGTCCAGGTACTTGGCTTTCCATTACTTCTACTGCTCACTCACATGCATCCCTAAAGTAGTACTCTACCCCCCAGATCCTTCAGCTCTTGGTCCCCTCAATTCTTTGCGCAACCCCCTTTCGGCTGCCTCTCTCTGTCGCTCTAAGGAACCCCTTCCCTCCCTCTTCATACTCTATTCTTCTTTACTTCTGCAACTGCGTTGATCGCATTCTTCTCTTCTCTTCTCCAGTCCAGCGCACCTTTCCTCACTATTGCCAATCGCCAATCGCCAATCGCCGTTTTCGCATCACACGTGTCGCAATCAAACATGGCCAAACAATCTTCAGCTCTCAGGTACAGCTGCAACGGCAGTGCTCACTCCAACGACAGTATCTAATTGACTCTTACAGCCAGGTCCTTCCTCTCATCATCGTCTTCGCTCTGCTCAGCGTAGGCGGCTGGATCGGCTACCAAGTCTACATCAGCGTCGCCAAGATGTCCGACGCTGCGTCCGAGCGCATGGGCAAGAAGAACGTCGTTTTCACAAAGGATGGTGTAAAGGTCGGTGTCAAACAAATCAAGAACGAAAACTACGTCGATGCGACGCAGAGCTGGTTCGTCAAGGCGTGGAATCTAGGCACGACATCAGATGCTAGTCAGAGGTGCGTACATCATGGTATCGTTTCTCGTGGAAGTGGAATAGGTCCTGACAATGTCTACAGTAAGAAACAAAAATAAACTCGATCGCCACTCCGTCACGAATTTTCTATCTTGATTCGAATATGCTAGGGGCATGGGTAGCACGACACGCACGCAGGCATCCATAGGACTCTTCAACGAATCTCTTCCATTAGGGCAGTTTCTTCCAACTTGATTCATATTACACCAGATATCCGGTTGCAAGATTGCTCTATAATACAACATATTGCACTTGAAAACGTTCGTGTGATCGTGAATTTCCAAACCATGACACCCCATGAAATTATCCATGGATATCCACTCGTCTAACACATCCAAAATGGCACCAGTCAAACCCCTACACTTTCGTTTCGAGTATCGGATCTGCAATTGCACAATCGAGCTTAGATCAAACAAATTCACGGTTATCTTTGAACGCCTGGTATCCAATCCAATAATGGCATGCTTATAGACTAAAAGGCGACCATGGTTATTCAGGACCAGCCATCCGCTATTTTATAGGTTATCCAGAACCTTTGGAACGTCTATATGGCATATTTGGAGATGAGATGTTTTCAAAATCCTTCAAAATCCTATCTCTGGTATCCCATAATTAATTCTGAAATTGCAACAGGCCGTCGGCTACCCTCTCGTTATTTGGTAAGGACCCCCTGGCTTTACTCAGTAGCTCCGTTTTCTGTTTCTCAGCTCTCTCCTTCTGCATAGCTTCATGCTGTTGTATTGGGTTCAGAGAATATCCTGCCATAGCTGGTGCCGTCTTGGACGACAAGAGCTTTTCAAAGTTGTAGGAGGCAGGGTATGGGCTAGCCATCAAGCCATCCCTTCGGATGAGCATTGAGGGAACACGAACATTGAGCTGTGGAGAAGTGTCAGTTGGCCCTGAAGTTGATACCAGAAAAAGCAACCAGTGTGGGAATAGATAAATGCTGAAAAAGGAAAAGAAGACGAACAAATAAAAAAAAAAGAAAGGAGATATCAAAGCGGAGGCAAATATCTCCAGGGATTCAGAGAGGGTACTCACTTGTTTAAGCACATTGGCGTACCTAACACCAAGATGATTGCCAATAAACTCAAGTCGACCTTTGACCCATGCTCTTTGTGCATCAGTTGTATAATCCTGACCCTGGACACAAGTCAGGGGCCAAGTCAAGAAGTATCCTGGCAGACCTTTTAGGGCATCTTCCTCCCCACAGCCAAACGCGGAGAGGTTAGCACGCTCAAGAAGCTCCCTGCGACTAGAAAACCAGCCCAGCTGGTAGGGCACCGAGGAAATGATGTCCGTGATGGTATCAACACACGTTCTCGCGGCTGTTGCGTATTCGGGGGTTGTTCGGTAGTCAACCGGGGCGCAAACCCATGCAGCACAGCGAACAATCAGTGACGCGAGGATGATACGAGAGCAACGCATCAAGTTCCATACGCTGACAACCCAGAGATCCTGATATGCGTCTATTCGTCCTGGGAAAACCTCAGCCACGCCGTAGTTCCCACTGGGAACATTGTCTTCCCAAGCCACAGCTTTGTAATGGAAGTATTCGGGCAACTGGTTTGCCCAGGCCACATGTTGCTGATCGAGAGTCTGACATCGGCGAATAATATCCAGAAGCAGCTCAATGTTCTCGGGGCTACGGGCCAGGGACGCCATCAGGCGGTTGGACTCAGCCCTGAGCTCTGCTGTACGGATGTTAAGTCGCTGACACTCGGCTCCGTACCGATTCTTGTAGCTGTCCGTGATCCACCATTCAACTCCCATGGCCGGGGGTGTGCCTGTGGTCAAGGTGTGAATGATCTAGTCGCTTGTCAGATGGTGGTCGGCAGAGGAATGAATAAAGAGCATACCATTTGCGTTCTTGTGGCTACGAAAAGAGCCAGGCCTGTTTTCGTTCGCATCTGCTTCCTATCCCTCGACTTAACTAGTTGAATAGCTCCTTCAATATGAGAGCCCCAAGCGAGCATTCCCAATTGCTTTGCGGTAATGTTCTCAAAAAGTCCCAAAAGCAGCACAGCTGCTAAAGTTGAGTCCTCCTTGGATAGAACGGGATCCTTTAGGGCGCTGAATGTGGCGGAAAGTGCTTTCGTATAACATCCTAAAGCCTTGTTCTCAAAATTGCAACCTGAACCGACACGGTTCCCCAGAGATGCCATGGCACATGCATCAAACGCTAGCTTGAAATGGGACGCTTGCTTCTCGCTTTTAAGGAGAGGCACAACGAATTCCATCCATCCACGCGTGTTATCATGAGAAGGTAGCAGAACGAAGTTCGATAGAAAGTGGCATGTTGCCTGCTGGTCCACCGGAAGTTGGAGAGTCGATATAATAGACTGATCGGGTGTTGGTTTGTGAATAGCTACGGCCTTTGAAGGTTTACCCTGCTTCAGCGCCGTGGCTTTCTTGCTGGCCTTGCGAGCTCTTCGTTCAGTTGCCTGCGTCTCGTTGCGGAAGACGAGATCGAATTCATCTTTGTAGCCAGGGCATTGTCGCCTGGATTTGGCACATTGATTACAGGTTGGTTTCGTTTCATCGCACTATGACTGTGAGCTGATATGTCTAGAGGGCCCCAGGAAAACTCTGCACAAGAAAAGTCGTGCAGCAGTAAAATAGCAACACACCTTGATTCTTCGGGCTCTGCACATCTGGCAACCCCTAGAGGGCTTGCCACAGTAGACCATGATTGACCGTGTTTCTTGATGAATCCCAAGCCCGACGATCAGATCACGACGTTATGTCAAAATTCCTAGCGGGGGATATTGACAGAAGTGGAAAGAAGATGGGGGAGGATTATTGTCCAACAGCTGACTGTCCAACGGCCTCCTGGGAGGACAGAGTAAACGAGAACCGCGGGATAGGACGTACGAAGACGCGAGGTTGCAGACGGAGATGAAAGAGAGCGAGGGCCGTAGCTGGTCACTTAATGTGACAGATCCAGTGATGAACAGTTTAGTCTTTTGGAAGAGTGAATGAAAGTCTAGTATATGGTGATGCTCTGCTTCGAGATGGTCAACACCTAGAAAGTTTGAGATAACCAAGCAACCAAGAGAGACTAAGAGTGCAGCTCTCGGAGATGAATGACCAATTTAATGAAAACACTGACTAGCTGGTGGCAAAGATTCCGAGCTGTCGGTGGTTATGGTGTTAAAAGAGTTCGTCTTGTATGTACGTATGTACGTGTATATGACAGGGTATGACAGGGGACGATGATGGCTGACGGGGAAGAAAAAGCAACGAGAGGGTCCAGGCAAAGAAAGAAAGAGAAGGGGGAAAAAGAGGCAAAGGTGTCCGAGAAGCCGTATCCGAGACGAGTGAGGACGATGGATATGTTTGCTTCGCCTTACACAGCGGGGGGGCTAAACAGACGACAGCAGGTTGGCGGTGGAACGTCGACGACGAGATGGAGGGGAGGACAAGGGGGTCAACGTGATGACAAGCGATGAGACAGTCCGAGTTTGCAAGCTTGGCTCAGGTTGTCAATGCGAGTGAGTGACATGGAAACGAGGTGATAAGTGACAGATGACGATGGTACAGTACCTCTGAACATACATACAGCAAATGCGGCCAGAAGGCGGAAGAATTGCTTTTTTAGCGACGCCGTTGGAGGAGAGAAGACATGGCAAGAAAAAGGATCCTGACAAAATTGGCTGGATGCAATGCAAGGCAATGCAATGCGACGACGCGATGCACGGGGATGGATCGTCAAGGCCCCGCTTGAACGGGCTGTCAGTACATAAGCAGATAAGTTATGTTGGTACGTAGCAAACAATAACGGTGTTTGCGGTTGTAGCGAATGCCAGATCTGGTCAAGTATGCCCCAATTGATTGAATGCCTCGCCGATCAAAGCCAAAGTAAAAAGTCAAAGTCAAAAGCCAAGGTTGATGAAGAGACAAGTTTTGAGTCGTGGAGTTCTGGAGCAAAACGTTTTAGAATAGAGCGGGAAGACGGGATGCCGTCCCTGATGTGCACTCAGGCACTTCACTCTCCCTAGGCACTGTAACTTAGTGGCCTCTGCTAATGAGTCTAAAGGGCCACAGCCAATTGAGTCATGGCGGGGACTGAGACCACGAACCCGCTTCCACTGATGTGAGGTGCTCTATCTTTCCATGTGGGCTAGAGTTGGAGGCTTGAGCGGGGCTCATTACAGGGGAAGCTTAAGAACCCTGTGGCCTGAATTGGTGGGTGGGCGGGTGAGATTCCATAGCCAGACCAGACGGGAAGAGATCAAGAAAGATGAACCTCGGCATGTCATTGTAGCCTTGAAGCATACATACTCAATTGGTTCAGAACTTGTCGCACTTTTTTATGTAAAGTGTGTGTATTAACTGACATCCCAAGATTACAGATATTCCAAGTTGTTGAGCCGAGGTTCATGGCTAATATACTCACTACAGGTCAGCTAATCAACAGCCCGGCAAAAAGACCCAATGCTAGTGATGAACACGATGCAGAACATAAAGGTAACTTATGTACATGGTGGAAATAGCAGGCATAAACATCCATACCTCTTCCTGTCACCGCTAGTGACCTTACTTACTGGTACCTACAAACTGCCCGCCGCTTGGGAGGGAGGGGAAGAACAAGAACTAAGAATCAAGGCCCAACATCAAATGCCAGGATCATCATGCAGATACAATCTGATCATCTATAGAACGGACAGATATAGTGCATCATCCAATGAGACAAGATCGACGAGGGTCGGCATTTGTGACAATCGCGCCATTCGATGGATTATTCGAATGGAATATTACCCTTGACGATAGACTCGACCGACGTCCTGGTCACGGGACCTTTCCGTTGATGCCCGTAGTCCATGATGCTTTCCGTGCTGTCAATCCTGTCATTATTAAGCGGGCGGCACAGTCGCATCGGATGATCTTGGGGTTTTTGCCAATGTCAGTCAATGTGGGATATCCTCGCTTGAATATTGATGATCTCTAGGGTCCCTATACAACTGTGACACATATATATATAAGCGTTTCAGTGCCGTCAATATCAAGGAGCATCCTGGTTATCTGTGACATCGATGAGATAGGTGATCGATCTCCCTCGTGTACAGGACGCCACGCAAAAGCAAATAACTACATTCACGATTGGTAAGGCTGGCTGGCACACAGACAGTTCTGACTCTTGAAGGCTCCAGACCAGGACATATAACAATGCTTCGAGTGCCACAAATCGAACGATGGGTTCATTGCCGCTTCTGGCAATAGCGGCTAACGTTGGCCCATGCGGGATGTCTCGGCCATCAACGCCTCAACGCCGTTAAAGGTTTCACATAACCAGCCCTTTGTGATCCATCTTCTCAAGCTGAGACATAATAGAGCTGTTATTAGACTTGGCTGAGTTGGTAAGCCGCCTGAAAACATGTTTTCTGCAGCAAGAAGCCGAGGCATCTCTGCTACCAAGGTCTCCCTTGTAAGGCTGCATCAACCTCAAACCAACACATTCAGCCTCCATTCCTTCACATTTGCGATGGTGGGCCACGCGGTAATAATGAGGCTTCGTGCCTCGGTCTTAGACATAAACGGGCATCTGCATTTGGTCGATGCTCATCTCTTTTGGATGGCCTCAATGCGTATCCCGGATCGCTGGGTTCTCTGCCGGTTCAGCCCTGATAACAAAATATACAAGCCTGGGTTTTCCACCAACAGCTTATTGTCAAAGCTTCACATAGCACGCCTCCCATCTCTTTTGGAACAATCCCATATTTCGCGCTTCGGCCTTCACATTTGCGCGAGCTTTGAATTGTCCTATCGCTGAAGGCCTCATAAGCCATGTTCCTCCTAGTGCTGCTTGAGAGGCAGAAGCCTGTGAGGTTCTAAGAAGTGCCGCTGCTCGTTTATCCTTAGAGTATAATTATGGGCCATTCAATACCAGTGTATTGTGCTATACCGCAAAACTTATACTGTGCACACTACTCCGTACAGCCAGTTATATTTCGGCAAACGTTTCTTGTGCAACTTTTCAACGTCTTCTTAACCACAAGTAAATAGCTCAAGTCATGGGCTATTCCCAAAAGCTTCAATCTATAGATCAAATTTGACGGTTTCTGTACAGGACAATACCGGAATAAATGGATATTCTCGTCAAGCAGTCCGGGCTTCACCGGCACGTCCTTCTCCACTTTCGGTGTGCCGACCGGCATCCCAATTCGGCCACCCTAGACCGGCACCGGCAAACGATTGTATTATCTCATCAATGTCCAAGTCAACTACAGGGCGTGCTCTCCCTATAAATAACCAGTAAAATACTGTCATTTGAGGACAATAGACAAGCATCATTCGGTCATCATCATCATCAACATCATCAAGAAAACCCCTTCACCTTCACTTAAAAATGAGCAAGATCTCCGACTTTGGCCTCCTCTCCTTCGACGTCTACGGTACTCTCATTGACTGGGAGACTGGCGTTCTAAATGGCCTCAAACCCCTTCTCCAGTCCAACAATGCCGAAATATCTCGCGAAGATCTCTTGAAGATCTATCATGAGGCTGAAGTTGCTCAACAGGAAAACACTCCTGAAATGAAGTATTCTGAGCTTCTGACAGCCATCCACCCTCATGTTGCAGAGCGTCTCGGCTTCTCTAAGCCCACATCTGAACAAAACAAGGCCTTTGGCGATTCAATTGGATCATGGCCAGCATTCCCTGATACTGTTGATGCTCTTCGTCGTCTCGGCAAACATTACAAGCTCGTTGTTCTGTCTAACGTCGACCGCGAATCCTTCTCCGGCAGCAATGCCGGTCCTCTTCAGGGCACCCTCTTCGACCTGATCATCACTGCACAAGACGTTGGAAGTTACAAACCTAACCTGAACAATTTCAAGTATATGTTGCGGGAGGTAGAGGCCAAGTTTGGTATTCCCAAGGAGAGGGTGCTGCAGACTGCGCAGAGCCAGTTTCATGATCATCAGCCTGCGAAGCAGATGGGCATCAAATCAAGTTGGATTGAGAGACCTGGAGCTAGTATGGGCAACACAAAGGATCCTTTGTATGATTGGAAGTTTGCCACACTTGGAGATATGGCTGATGCGTTGGAGAAGGAACTTGCTAGCAAGTAAACCAGCCTATACTTGACATGCATCATGTAATACAGGTCATCCAGGGAAAATTATCCAACTTCTAGCACTGACTTGTACTTGATCTGTGCACTGTTCAACTCAGAAATGTCCAGGTGGTTGTTTAATAAGAGCAATTGAATCTTATCAATGTGGCTTTGAGGGCGTAGTTGCAGACTGTTGTACTGAGCCAGTCTTGAATGTTCCAGCTAGAAGCCAGGATAGTTAGCGACAATTAAGCTAAATCAGATCCAAGTCGTTATACCTGGCGATGGCCTTACTTCTGTGAGAGAACTTTGAAAGATGTAACGTAGTAAAGTTTTCGTGTACATAGTTAAAACGAAATTCAATATCGTAAATCGTAAGTCATATACCATTAAGCCACCGGCTGCTCAAACCCATGATCAAACCAATCTCCCAGATCTGGCAATGAAATAACTTCCGTACGCGCAGGCAGAGAGCAACCAGTCTTGTAACCTCCGGCCATGCCAGAACACTGATACGTGAGCGAAGGCCCTCCAAAAACGTCCAGCATAGAGTTTTCCTGTCGAGGCAGCCGAAACGATCCTCCTGGAACAATCTGCTGCATGGCTACCCAATTTCGAAACTGGAGATATCCAT